CAGGGGGCATATTTTACGATAGACATCACGATGTATAGTAATTTGTACGGAGGAGAACCAGGAGGGCGACACGGAGACATGCCGGGGGCAGGAGAAGCTGCTGGCTTGGAAGCTGCCGGAGTTGGGCATCAAGCTGCATGCATCGATGAGCTGAGATCTCGTGCACGGCCAGTCGATCTGTCATCTGCGCTCTGATGGCTACAGGGCTTTGAGCGAGGGCTTGATCAGCAAACGATATCAGACTGCCATCTGCAGATCAGAGGTTCTGTGTTGACGACCGTTCTGTTTGTGTTGGCATTGAAACGATGACGTGTCTGCTCTTTAGCAGCAATGAGCGAGCATGTGCCGACCTTTGGGACTCTGGTGGTCGATATGTATCATCTGAACATGCTCTCGAGTACCAGAATCAAGTGTTCCACCCTACGAACCCACCCGTGGAGGGCACGGCCACTGGAATCAGAGCTGAAAGGCGTCTGCGATGACTTGAGATATGCAAGAAGTGTATCGTGACGATGGTGGCAAAGTGCATACCCTGCATCGTATATGCACATCCGGTCTGAGCATCCTTTCGACATGCTGTACGGCGAGTTATGCTCGTCCACACGTAGCTGACAGCTTGCCTTGAGGATGGATAGACTGGACAGTACAGGCCATACAAGTCCAGACCGACCAAGCGACTCTTACACGTCTCCGCTCTGCCATGGCCAGCTCGTTGTTGCTAACTGTAGGACGAAGGGTTCAGGTGGAGAGGTTTCTCTCTCCTTTTGACGCCCTCCCTCCTTGTATCACTCCATCCCTTATTTCCACTCTTGCTTCTTGTCCTGTAGGTTGCCATCGTCTGGCTGGTATACTCCGCCCTACCCCACTTTGATTCTCACTGCCGTTTGCTGTCCCTCTCCACTGTCATCGTCTTTCATCCTTGATCCATCTTCCCTGCTGTGAGACATCCTCTCGTTTCTCCTCGTTTGCCGCCCCGCCCGCTCTCTATCCTCCTCTTACAGTCTTGCAACCCGGTATGGCCCTATACCCATCTATGCCGGCTGTGTGCAAGCTACCTCTCTCTTCGTATGCTCGGGTATCGTGAGACCTCAATAGTCAAGGCGGTCACTCGGCGAGTCAGCCTGCTCATCTCTTGCCGTCCTTGTAGTGTTCTGTGTTCGAGGGTTTATATATGGGCATCCATGTGCTGGCAGTCCCACAATCACACAGGCCCTCAGCAACCAGAGAGCAGTACGGTATGGCAGCAACCCGCGAATGCGATGCTGAGCAGCAAGCTGCAGCAAACAGCGAGGCGCCTCCTGCTCTAAGCGGCGTTGGATCCGCTGCGCTGAAACGACCCGCACCCACCCCTTTACAAAGCCTCGAAGTCATTGTTGCT